CCGTATTTTTGGTACAAGTATGGAATTTTCAGCATGGATATCGGTAGCCCGAAATTCGCAGGCCGGCCATAGATATCAGGTGTGCGTCGGCAGGGGATCGAACCTCTGATAAGCATCAAAAGATTACGCCAGCGTAACCTGAGATTGACCTGCCATTACACTACATTTTACAGAAGGTATAAACGTATCTAAGATCAGGTACTGGACGAGATCTCGGTTCCGCCAACGTCAGTGGAGGCTGCCACACCTGCTGTCCTTCCTGTGGATGTCAAGCCGTCTTCATTGCACACTGATACCATAACCATTGAAACCGAGGTAGTGCCTTCGCCAACTTGCAGCAGCCTAACACCAGCTGCTGGTACTTCACAAATGTGCCCACAAGTGTCTTCCGAATGTGATGTAACAGAATCTTGCAGACCTTCCATCAGAGGTGGCCTCAACCACCATCAAGTATTAGAAATGTACTGAGAATGTGTGGCTCTTGCGAATCAAGCCTAGTTGGAAGGGAATCTATTACCACATCGGTCTCCAGAAATGTTTGCAGAACTACATGGAGATGTCTGTGGTTAAAAGTCCCTACAACAAGATTGATCTGCAGTTGAATGTCGACGGAGTGTCCATCTTTAAGTCTTCTAACCATCAGCTATGGCCCCTGTTAGGTCAAATTACGGCACCGTTCCTAAGTAGTGTATTCCTGATAGGTATATACAGTGGCCATAGCAAACTGAGCAGTTATAAAGAGTTATCTGGCCTAAAGGATATATTAAGTCAAGGCATACATATTACCAGATCAAATAGTCATTTCAACGTTCGTTTGACAGCCGTCATCTGTGATGCACCGGCTAGAGAAGACGTGAAATTTATAGTAGGCCATAATGGCAGTGCAGGTTGCGACAAATGCACGGTTACCGGAAGGAAACTTGACGGCAGAATGACATTCGAAAATGGAATTTTTCCAATTCGGACTGATGACAGCTTCCATCAAAGGATACAGTCAAATCACCACCACGGACAGTGTATTTTTGAGGATTTAAACATTGATGTGGTCAAGTGTTTCTCTATTGACCTAGTCCATTTAAGTGTAGTGAGGAAGCTTATAAGTCTCTGGCAAGACTTAGCTAAAACAATGGAGATGCACATAAACCAGCCCATGCTAGAAACCATTGACGGGAAGATATTACCTTGTGCTAGAATGACACCGGGGGACTTCCCAAAAAGGTGTAGGGGGCTCACCGAAGTTAGTAGATGGAAAGCCACTGAATGTCGCATCTTCCTTCTCTACCTAGGACCTGTCTTACATAAGGACGCTATGCCACCCGGAATATACTGCAACTTCAAAAGACGTAGTTTAGCAATTTACCTTGTCTCACAAAAAGTTTACTGGAATTACTTGGAAGGTTGCAGATATGAGTAAGTCAACTTCCTCAACGAGTTTTGAAGTGATTTATTTCAGGGAGCACTTAGTTTATAATATTCATTGTTTGCGACACTTAGCGGAAGATGTCGATGAAATGGGACCTTGAGAATCTTTTTCGGCGTTCCCATTTGAGTCTTATATGTGGACAATTAGGTGTCCTGTACATTCTCACAATGCGGTTGCTAAGCAGGCGGCACGAAGATTTGCAGAAAAGGTATTTCATGACTGCAAATCAAGAGCACTAGACGATAACGTTTTAAATCAATGTGAAGTAGATGTAGTTAGGCGTACAGTCATCACTTCCTCTTCACAAGATAACGTCGTCATAGCCCACAACAAACCTGGTCTCACAACGCAGATGCACAAGGAAGGACTAACATTCAGACCTTATGTAGATGCTTGTGATTTCTTCGACCGGCCGTTTATCTCATACCACATAGGAATGTGAAATGCTGCAAAGTAAGCCCCAATATTCTAGAAATTCAGCCGTCAGATATTATTTGTAAGTGCTTCTGTATTCGTACAGACATGTATAAAGTAGCCGTACCTTGCCCCATATTTCTCCAGAAACTGCTTAGATTAATTGTGTCAACCGTCGGCATTCCTGTATTCAATGACGAGTGGGCTAATGAGAGTGAGACAAACAGTTGTGGAGCATGTGACAATCTACCACATCACTCAATCACTCACTCACTCATTTACTCACAAACACAGTTGTATACACACTCAAGGCAAATGACGAAATTGTAATTTGGCCAATTACATGATTAAGGAATGCTTGCCTGCTTGCATGTATGCATGCAAACATAAATGCATGCGTGGATGAGTGAATAAGTGAAGAACTGAATGAATGAGTGAGTGAGTGAATTTGGCATCTTGTTGCTTGATTTTCAGCTGTTGCACGTCAAGTCCCAGAACCAGTCACAGCAACAGCAGGAAACAGTGGTTGTTCTGGTGGACGCCCCAATCGCCCTAAGTAATGTGGTCGCCGTGGATGTGGAGGTGAAAGTTGCCCAGAAGGCTGTTGTAGAGACTGTCGAAGACAGTAAGCCACCAGAAAACACCTCTTTCCAGCCAGCTTCAAAAAATCTTTCTCTCTTACCTAAGTGGAGCAAATCTTGTCGACATCATCATTTCAAGCCCGCTACCAATGTGTACTCTTGAATCTCCTCCATCTATGCTGACTGGTAATAGATACACTTGTATTACACAAATCACACTTTTCAGACTTCTTCCACCCTGAGTGAATAATTAGACGGTGGTTGGGGATGTTGTTATCGCTGCTGCTGTTGCTGTGGTTGTGAAGATGTTCCAAGGCGATTTCAGCGTCCACGTGTTGATATTAGTGGCCTTCTTCTTCTTCCACTCAGTGTGACTCCCATACAAACGTCTTGTTGAAATTTCTCTGTCTTTCGACCTGTTAGGTTGTAAGTCATTCTCTTTATTTTGAATAAGCAAGTGAATCAGTGAGCCAGTTAGTTAGTCATTCGGTGAATCAGTCATTAAGTTAAAGTGTCAGTCATTCAGTGAGCCATTCACTGTGTCATTCAGTGAGTCGATTAGGGAATAATCTGGTTAGGTAGCTAACTGGCTAACTATCAGACTATGTGCTCAGGTGACTGCTGACTAACCAGCCAGTATATCTGTCTCCGGGTTAGTTTTCCAAATTAACCCTTTGCTGGTGAACCAATACATTAATATTATTAGTATTATCATTAGTATACTCAATGAGTTAGCTCATAGCTATCCCATTAATTATTTACTCACTTGTGTCACTAGCTAGCTACATTGTTAAGATATTAAAATACTTTCTTGCCTTGGTTATTGATTTACCACTGGTAGAAATTGTGTGAGCTTTATTATTTTTGAGGCAATAATTCGTTGTTTACATTCTCAATTGCCTTTATTGTTTTGTCCAATGACTGAGTGTGAGGAGAAGATGAGAGACTATACGCGATCATGGGGCCAGCTATGTAGGGCAGCAGAAAATAGGACATAATGGAAATGAGCTGTTGAAGCCTTTTGTTCCACTCGGAACACAAGGGAAAAATAATAATAATAATAATACAACAGAATGTTGATACACTGAATGAGATTCATCATGTGTAGAAGAGACAAAGGCAACGTTGTGGAGTATGACTGCATCACATAATAATTCTTGCATTCATGGAATCAAATGAAATTCAATTTTACAGAAATGAACAATTATTCTGACAGGGTGGTGAAATAATGACTAGTGGATGCATTCATACTACGGAGTGTTGGTAAGCAGTATAAAATGTATTATTACTGTTATTATTTTTCTATTTACCCCTGTTTAATTCACTCGTATTCAGATGGTTCCACACCTGGCCATAAGCTCACATCTCCTTTCAACATTATTTCCTGCGTGTGACCGGTTCAACTGAGTTTTCGGCAAATCTTTTGAACACTAGGTGCTTGATTAGTTCTTTCCTCGAGTTTCACGTCCCTAATTCTTTCTGCCCATTCGATCATCACTACAGAGCGAATGCAGCTGTTGATAAAAGTCTGAAACCAGTTAAAAATGCTTTCCGTGAGACTCCGTGCAAGTTCCTGACTCGTACAGAAGTGCTGACTGACATCAGTGTTGTAAATCTGAATCTTATTGTTTATGCTGAGTCAGTGTTGAATAATTCCATATTGATGGAGGTGTACAGTGACTTCTGGATTCTGGACTGATTCGACATTCTCATCCATGTTGTCCGCCTGTGGTTGAAACGATGTTAACAAGGCAACTGAAGAGATAGACCATATTCGCCTTTCTCCCGTTGATAAAGACTGGAGATGGTTGTTGTTGGAGTTGGTTGGTTATCATCATCACATCCATCTTCCATGTGCTCACTTGAAATCCTTCCGGTCTTCACTACTCCGTCTGCCAGTTTCGCGGCTTTCACCTGTACGCCATCGATTTTGTGTAACACCATAGATTAATACTCTGCGAAATCTAGATCTTCCGGAGCCTTCTTGTCAGTCCAACATATTCCTCTTTTCTCGATCCTCACAGTCTGGCGCAGAATCTACTTATTTATTTTATTCCATTCGTTTGCGTTCCCAGTGGAATATAGGGCTTCAAGCTAGAGCTTCGAAGTTTCAGTAGCAGTGTTGGCGGATGATGTGGTCCACTACAATTAGGAATATCATGAGTGGTGTTAGTAGGCTGCCAGTCATGTCTTACTACTGTCTCCACTCCGAACGCCTTGCTGAGTTTCTCGTAATGGACCACCTGGCACGGGGCAGTGTCATATACTCAGCAATTGAGTGAGGTTGATGAAGACAGACTTGGGAACACTAATTGTTATTCACAGCTGTCCGCCGAAAGTCTCTTTAAAGTCGATGAAGTTGAGGTACAGGTTTGACTGCGATTCTATGCCTATGTTCGATGACGATGTTCTGAGTTTCAATTTGATCAGCACATGATTCGCTTTCCTGAATCCAGCTTGTTCCGCTGAGTGGAGCTCAGCACCCAGTGCATCATTTATTCTCCCAAGGATGACGCTAATTAATTCTTTTTGTACCTTTGAACTTTGTTTAAAACTCGCTCACCCATGGTGATACACATTTTGTCTTTTGAATTGTAACTCTTCTGTACGTTCATTGGTTCGCTCTCTTGTTGTGCTCTCTTTCTGCACTCTCCGAGCCTACCTCCAGCAACATCTGCAGATAAGTTGTACGACTTCTTTATTTATTGAATTTTATATTTCGTCGGAATAAAAATAATTTCCCAGGCGCCCTTGACTTCAAGTCTTTTTACGCAATACAGTTGTCAGCATTTGCGCGTCTAGTAGTGTACGCTAAGGTCGCAAAACGGTGAAGAAGTTTGTAAGCGTGTTTAGAGTATAGGTCCACTCTAAGCCGTAATAGAGCTCTTACAAGTGGTGAGCCCGTGTATTCATCGTTTCCCTCCATTTTAGCTTGACGTGTTTTTAGTTCTTTTTCATATTGACTACCTTTTTTGTATATATTTTTCACATAGAATTATTAATTTTTATTCGTTTTTTTTCGCGCGTGTTTTTGTCGTATTACCGTTAGTATATCCTTCTGTCCCCAAAATGACTGACAACAGTGCTTCGCAAATGGCTATAACCTTGCAACTCCCCACATTTTGGACACATCGTCCTGTTGCTTGGTTCAACCATGTAGAAGCTTTGTTCACTCTCAAACATATACACTCACAGGAAACGAAAGTAAACTGGGTAATTGTGAGTCTCCCTGAAAATGTTATGGAAGAGGTTTCAGACGTCCTCATGGACCCGTCCCCCGACTTGTATGAACGGCTCAAGCAAGCACTAATTAAGCGCGTTGCACTCACAGACCAACAAAAGTGCAGGAACTCTTTCGGGATGTTCACCTTGGCGACCGGAAGCCCACTCAATTGTTACGACAGATGAGACAGTTGGTCGCCGACTTCAATGTAGATGATGCCTTCCTTAAACAACTGTGGTTGCAAAGATTACCACAGGCGATTCAGGGCATTTTAGCCCCAATCCACAAATCCCCCTTACCCGAGTTAGCCGAAGCGGCCGATAGGGTAGTAGAGACTACTGCATCCAACCTGAGCATTTCGGCCGCGGCAACTGATCGGCCCGCTCAGATCAAAGAACCTCCGACTGGAGAGTCATCCAGCTTCGATACGGTGGCCCATATAACCAAGCTGTACGAAGAGATATGTAGTATCAGGCAAGAGATGAGAGCAAGAAGTCGTTCGGGTAGTCGCACAGACTCAACTCGTAGTAGATCATCGTCACGTGCCAGCAGTCGGCGTCGTAGGTCTCGAAACTTCCAGCCTGGAGTGTGCTGGTATCATCGGCGTTATGGTGAAAAAGCCCAAAAGTGCACTCGCCCGTGCACCTTCGATGTCCAAAAGTCGGGAAACTAACAGGCCAGCACGTGTTGGCGACTAACGTTGCTGGCGAACCACTTCCATGTCGCCTCTTTTATGTCACAGAACGTAACACTGGGATACGCTTCCTCATTGATACCGGAGCAGAGGTCAGTGTCATCCCACCCACAATAGAGGAGCGCAGGCGGCCAATGTCTTTACAACTACGTGCCGCAAATGGTTCGCCGATAGCTACGTTTGGCAGGCGCTTTCTTGACCTGAATATCGGCTTGCGCCGAGCATTCCGCTGGGTCTTTCTGGTAGCGGACGTGACCACAGGTATCATCGGTATGGATCTGCTACAACATTACCAACTACTCGTAGATACAGGTAAGCACAGGTTGATAGATTCAGCCACCAACCTCTCGATAAACGGTATCGCCACCAAGTGCCCAGCCCTCAGCCCTGTATATGCCACACCCACTAGTACTGGTCCTTATTCGCATATACTGCAATCTTTCTCGGATTTGTTCAAACCTAGCAGCGGTCTGCCATGTGCGACTTCCAACGTCACACATCATATTGTCACTACTGGTCCGCCAGTTTTCGCAAAACCGAGACGACTATCCCCAGAAAAACTAAAGGTTGTTAAAGCGGAGTTCGAGCATATGCTAGAAATGGGGATTATTAGGCCATCCAGCAGCCCGTGGTCCTCACCGTTGCACCTGGTACCTAAGAATAACGGTTTAGATTGGCGTCCTTGTGGTGATTACCGCAGACTAAACGCACAAACTGTTCCCGATCGCTACCCTGTCCCTCACATACACGATTTAACCGCCTCACTCAAGGGAGCCCGAGTATTCAGCAAACTGGACCTGACACGGATCCCCGTCGACCCCGTGGATATACCCAAGACGGCCGTGATTACGCCGTTTGGCCTGTTCGAATTTCTTCGAATGCCTTTCGGCTTACGGAACGCTGCCCAAACCTTCCAGCGTTTTATCCATGACGTTTTGCGCGGGCTTGATTTCGCCTTTGCCTATCTGGACGATATTTTGGTAGCTAGTCCAGATGAAGCCACTCATCAACTTCATTTGCAGACAGTTTTCCGAAGACTTGTGACACACTCCCTCACACTCAACTTGCCGAAGTGTCAGATTGGAGTCACTTCCTTGAATTTTTTGGGACATAGGATAGACAAAGATGGAATTTATCCGTTACCTGACCGGGTAGAAGCTATTCAAAACTTCCCTCTACCCACTTCTCCCAAGGCACTACGCACTTTTCTCGGGATGGTTAGTTACTACCGTCGCTTTATCCCACAGTGCGCTCACATCTTGACCCCCTTGACTGATATGCTTAAAGGGAAATGCAAGTCTTTGGTGTTCACTAAGGAAGCCTCGACAGCTTTTGCAGCTATCAAGAAAGCTATTGCTGATGCCACAATGTTGGTCCATCTAGATGTCCAACTCCCAATCAGCATTTCCGTAGATGCCTCTAACACTGCGATCGGAGCCGTCCTACAACAGCGTATGTCCAATGCATGGCTACCGATTGCTTTCTTTTCACGTAAACTTACCGCATGCGAATCTCGATACAGCACATTCGGTAGGGAACTTCTCGCTGTCTATGCTGCTGTCAAGCACTTTCGTCACTTCGTGGAAGGCCGGCAATTTACGGTATTTACCGACCATAAGCCATTGACGTACGCCCTCCACACTACTTCAGACCGGTATTCACCGCGAGAATCACGCCATTTAGACTATATTTCCCAGTTCACTTCCGATATCCAGCACGTTTCTGGATCGGATAACGCGGTAGCAGACGCTTTGTCTCGCGTATGTGCTACGTCAGTACCACCAACCATCGATCTTCATAAAATGGCCGAACTCCAACTGAAGGATTTGAACTTAGAACACCTGTCAAATAAAACCTCACTGAAGATAGAACGCGTCCCCTTGCTAAACAGTGAAACAACTATACTTTGCGATATGTCAACGGGTACTCCTCGACCGATTGTTCCCACGTCTTTACGCCGCACCGTGTTTGAGTCACTCCACAACCTCTCCCATCCTGGCATACGAGCAACGGACAAGTTGATATCAGCGAGATTTGCGTGGCCCGGTATGAACCGTGATGTGCGTCAATGGACACGTGCTTGTGTGCAATGCCAACGTGCTAAAGTCACCAAGCATAACATCACGCCGTTGGGGACGTTTGCGACCCCAGACGCTCGGTTCCATCATATCCACCTGGATATAGTAGGGCCCCTGCCCCCGTCTAACGGCTGCTCGTATTTACTCACATGTGTGGATCGTTTCACACGTTGGCCGGAAGCCATTCCGATACAAGATGTAACGGCTCAAACCATCTGTCGTGCCTTCATGGAAGGCTGGGTTGCCCATTTTGGATGTCCCGCAACTGTCACTACCGACCGCGGACAACAATTTGAATCCACAAGCTTCAAAGAATTGTTAGAGATGCTGGGATGCAAACGCATTCGCACAACCGCGTATCATCCTGCGGCAAATGGGCTAGTAGAACGTTTCCACCGTCAACTGAAAGCCGCGTTGATGGCAGTAGACAACAGTAAGTGGACAGATTCGCTGCCACTGGTCCTGCTTAGCATCCGGGCTACGCTTAAAGGGGATCTGCAGTGCTCGCCAGCTGAATTGGTGTACGGTACCACCCTGCGTTTACCAGGCGAGCTAATCGCTCCTGAAGCTTTCGAGCCAAATTTCCCCGATACCACCTGTTACGCTCAGCAACTTAAAAGTTTTATGCAGCGAATCCGACCAGTTTCCACACGCACTCAGAACCGAAAGGTTCAGGTTGATCGGCGACTTGATGACTGTACGCACGTTTTCGTGCGTCACGACGCCATACGAAAGCCATTACAACCACCGTATGACGGGCCTTTTAAGGTCCTTAGTCGTAAAGATAAATTTTTCGTTATTGACCGATGCGGCCGCCCAGACACTGTCAGCATAGACAGACTTAAAGCGGCATACACTGAAGAACCTTCACCCTCCCCATCGGCTCAATCAAATAGCCCCACTGAACCTAGTCCTTGTCCAGACTCAACTACCTCACCTCCAGTGGCGAATGATGATTCTCCTACCGTCACCAGTAAGACCCCTGTCACACGTGCTGGTCGACGTGTTCACTGGCCCAAGAGGTTCACAGAATTCTTTCACTGAACTAATCCATAGGTTTTTTATACCTTGTCACAATTTTTTATTCAATTTTGCTGTATTTACTCTATTTGGTCCCGCTTCTGGGAGTAGTCGTTTTAACCCTCACTAATCCTTTTAATCTTTATCTCTCGTTACAGAGGACCAGCAGCAGTTTGTTTTTACCCTAATTTTTCATCTATTTCATCTCAATCTACTCGCTAGATCAGTTGGCTTCTCATGTCATCTTGTAACCCATACCAAATGAGGAATTACGAACAGTATATTACTTTTCACTGCACAATTTCTCCCAAAAAAGAAATTATTAATAAAAAGAATTAAATTACTAAAAAAATTTATAAAAAAAAGAAAATTTAAAAAAAAGGAAAAAATGTGTTGGGGTCGCGCTAAATCACAAATTGGTAGAAGTTAGAATTCACGAGCCATTGAATCGGGTTCCAGTGGCTGAATGGTATACGAGCTTGCCTTGTAACCGGAAGGTCCTGGGTTCAAACCCCAGTGGGTGCGTACTGCCGATGATTCCCAAACTAGGATGAAACAGCAGCTGTCCAGTACTCCCTGGTTTTCAATGGTTCTCTAACTGATATCAATCCGTGATCAACTCGTAAAACATAACTAATCCTTACAAACCAAACTATAGAAAATAAATAAACAAATAAAATATTTTTAAAAATAAAAAAGTCTATAAAATTATTTAAAAAACAAAAAAAGAAACTTCCACTGTATAGCTAAATCGACCGATATACATATTTTTGCGCATAAATGCTTCACTTCTATGCTGTACATAGTAATCCGCTCAATTTATTTTCACAGCCTGTTCTATATTCCTTCGGGTTTATGCCCTCCTGCAATTCATTTATTTTGTGAACCGTACTTATAAACATTATGCATCATCTTAGTATGCACTTCGCAACATGAACAAAATAATTTTTTGTAATGATAACTACTCATAGCTATTGGTTATGTACTAACTTCTCTGTAATTTTATAAGTTCTCCCAGGGTAGAAACTTCCTTTGTTTTATCTCATTCTAACGTACTACTTCCAAGTTGCACCAGTTTTCCTCGCATTGATTTCGCACAAGCTTTTGTAGTACCTTTACGCCGATTTTGAAATCTTAACCTCTTCTCCCATTCTCTTCTGTTGTTTTTTACCCTGCTCCTTATCATACGCTGGTACAATGATTGCCTTTAACATGACTGCTAGGTTTTGTTGAAGCGGAGGAAGGGAGCATTAGTCTAAAATGAAAATTAGACATAATGAGTCACCTTCTTGCTACGACAGCCTCGGCGGCGAAGGTTTACCATCAGACCTCCACATAAGTAAGCTTGTAGTAGTACGGAATTAAAAGAAAATGAATCGATGAGTATTAATACAATAAAAAAATACTAAAAAAAAATTAATAAAAATATGAAAGATAAAAAAAACAACACCAAACAGCAGAAGCTTACAACCACACAAGGCACCAGCGTCATTTCTTATTATATTCCGTCTTACTTCACCAATCATGTACATACCACTTCCGACTTACCTTAATTTTTTTCTTTTCTTTTGCTTTCTTTCCTTTCGGTAAAATTTCTTTTTTACCATTCCTATTTTCAAACCTTCGCATTCACTCACTGCTATTGTGCCAAGCCATCCTACTTTTGTATATCGAAGCTTGCTGGCTTCCCACCAACCTTCTAGGGAGGGGGTTAACCTGTAGTGCACATTGTACCTTTGAACTTTTGTTTAAACTCGCTCACTCATGGAGATACACTTTTTGTCTTTTGAGTTCTGACTCTTCTGTACGTTCATTGGTTCGCTCTCTTTTTGTGCTCTCTTTCTGCACACTCTCCGAGCCTACCTCCAGCAACATCTGCAGATAAGTTGTACGACTTCTTTATTTATTGAATTTTATATTTCGTCGAATAAAATATAATTCTCCCAGGTACCCTTGTAACTTCAAGTCTTTTTACCGCGATACAGTTTGTCAGTATTTGCGCGTCGAGTAGTGTACTGCTAAGGTCGCAAAACGGTGAAGAAGTTTGTAAGGGTGTTTAGAGTATAGGTCCACTCTAAGCCGCAAAGGAGCTCTTACAGCCTCATCGGTCGCTGTTCAGAAAAAACATCCAAAAACTGTCAGAAGCAATATCGTGATTAATTGTTGTAATATTTGTTCTTAGACCTAAGTCTGTAGTGCCAATATTGCTGGTTTTATTTTGGCGTTAGAATAAATAATTCTTGAGTCGCCAAACGGTGTTTTTGTTTTCGCGTCGGTTAATACTAGGCGTTTCTGAAAATCTTCGAGGGATAGCGTGAGGTCCAGTGTAGAAAGAGCTGGGAGTTAATGGGTCATGAGACTTGATTGACAGTTTCTTACAGTTGGATGACCTCCGTCCTTGTTTCCTGGTGCCCACCAAGTCTTCATTGAAAAGTGTTATCTAGAACTTTTCTGGAATTTGGCCAAGTTCGGTGATGCCTGGGTCAAAGAATGGACAGAGCGTCTCGGAAGCAGGCAGGAAAGTAAGTATTGCTGAGTTGCTTGTTAACTGTAATGATATGTATGATGCGCAGCATGATACGTCTGTTGTTCATGTTTCGCCGTCTAGGGATAATAGGAATATTAAGCTTCCTAAATTTGAACCTCAGTGTTTCGACGGAAACCCAGCTGACTATTTACAGTTTGTAAAGGAGTTTGAAATCATGTTGAGTAGTGTTTTATTAAATGACGAAATGAAGTTGATGCATTTGATGAGGTACTACACTGGAGTTGCTTCAAGAGCTGTACAGTGCTGTAAATTCATGCCCCCTAACGAAGGATACTCTGAGGCTCCTAGTACACTGCGTCAAAGATTCGGAAGTCCTTCGATGATTGTAGGGAAATTATTCGAGGCCGTAAAAGGTAATGGTAGTCAATTACGAGATCACTCCAAGGCACTCTCTGAGTTTTTGCATAATCTGATGACTTACAAGAATACCTTGATTTCGATGAATTCCATGAGTGATCTGAACTCAAGTTCCGTCCTAGAGGTAATAGTGAGACGCATACCTACTCGACTGCAAAGGAATTGGGTGAAGATAAGCACTTGTACAGAGGATGAAGGTTTCGAGCCAAAGTTTGATGATATTCTGAAACTGGTAAAAAATAGTGTCAATCAAGATATGAGAAAGTTTGCCAGTATATTGCATCTCACCCCTAGAATAGAGCAGTCTGAGAGCAAAACCCAATCATTTATGACGAAAGGGTCTCAGAGAAGTGGATATCGAGAAAGACCTATGGTGTCCAGTAATCCAGATAAACTTAGTGAGTGTAACAGCTTTCGTGGGACATCGCCAACAGATAGGTTACAAGGTGCGAGACAAACACAGTTGTGTTTTACACGTTTGCAAGAAGTGCATACAAAGGTGGACTGTGAATCAGTGAGCAAGTTTAGTGATAAGCTAAATGTGAAATCAACGTCATCAAGTTCTGACTACGAATTGTGTGGTGATAATGGTGCAGTGAAGAAGCCCGTATTTGCGACTGGTAAGCCATTGTTGAATAGAGTGTCACAGACGACACTGCAGTTTGTGCAGGAGAAGATAGTTACAGTTTCAGAGTCCAGTTCTGACTCCGTAAGTTTACAAGTTATTACCAGTCAGAGTAAAGGTGTAAGACCTCTAAAGATTTGTGAGGAAGAACCGGAATCATCTACTGCTGTTACTAAAGAGTTTGCATATGATGAAGTTGATCATACAAACGAAGGTAAACTGGATATTTTTGATAGTGGTCATGATAGTGCAAATTTGTCTTTGGCTGATCGTGATGAGATGAGCAGAATGCCTACTGCTACTGAGTTGAACAAAGGTTCTGTACAACTTGAATGTGGAGTAGAATTAACAGCAGATGCGGTGGTAGAAGGTATGGATATTTGTGAGACCGTCAGTGTAAATGACCAGCGTGTAGCCCACATATCATCCGATGCTAGCGCTAAACTAGAGCTAATGGTGAAAGACAGCAGTGGTGGTAATCTTGTAATTAGACAAACTTCTAAAAGCCGAACAACAACAGCTTCTGATCCACCGCTAAGTTCATTAGTCTGGTATCAATCAGCCATCGTTGGTGTTGTCATCCACAATGAAAGGGATGTCCATGAACTCATGTGTCTTATGCTGTGGCTATGCTAGTGTCAGTCCGTTTGAAAAGACGAAAGATATTGGTCAGTTTAATGGGGATAAGCCAAGTGTATACGAGAGGGTCATTGTTAAACTGACTTACAGGAATGAAGGCATTTCAAGTTTCTATTTGAATTATATTATCTTTGGTGCAAATTACTCTGTTTCTACGCTTGGTTGGTCAGATATGTCGTATGTTTGCTAGTCATCTATATTTTAAGATATAATGACATGAGCGTGTTACTATTCAAAGTTGAGGATAAACATGATAGAAGGAGGTCAGCGAATGAACTGTGTGACGATTTTCCAACCTAGGGTGTCAACCTGAGAAGGGTTGTAGGCGCACAGCTGTAAGTCCTACAATTCTTCAAAGGGTAGCGCATCAATGAGCAGTCCAATGTGCTCGGTGTGTGATTTTGTACATATGTTCATGTTGTATATACTGAATTGATATCATCTTTCATCTATCTGTTGGTAATTCTGTTTGTGTCCGGACGACTTCCACTTGGATCATCAACCTGAGAAGGAATGTAGGCGTACTGCTGTAAGTCCTACAGTTCTTCAAGTGTAGTTTGTCATGCCAGAATCCACAACATTTGATGTATTGATTGTTTATATTTTTGTGTTGATTAATTGTGTGTTTATGCGACTGGGGCTTGCATACTTCACCGCTGCTTGAACTGAGGCAAAATGAGTGACAAGCGATCGCAGTGGTAATTGGTAGTGGGTAGATAAGAGGATGTGCGAAGTGTATCATCAGGTGGTGCTATGGTCACGTTGCTTTCTGCAAGAGTCATTCTAGCAAGTGGCGATTGTGTTGCAAGAGGATGTGTCAAGAGGATGCCTGTAACTGGAAAGCGTAGGTCGTCATCGATGTGTGAGATTGTGCTGTGTGTATGCCCGTGGTGTGTTGGCTTTGCTGCTTGTTTTCCATTTCAGCTTTGTTCGTGTGACCCAGGTTCTCGTACTGGCATCCAAGTCAACGTGTATTGGTCGTGATGGAAAAAAGGGATGGATCGGTTTTTTGCCGGGGAGTGTCAATGTAGTTAAAGATTGAACGATCAATTCATGGTTGTTTGCTCAAACCCAACTTCCCCATATTTTTCGCGGAGTCATCAATCCGTCAGTCATCGTCTCATCGGTCACTGTTCAGAATGAAGATTAAAAAACTATCAGAAGTAATATGGTGAT